CCCCTCCATCTACCACCATCTCGGCCTCCTCCCTCTCCCCTCCCTCTCTCCTCCCTCCCTCCCTCCTCCCGTCCTCCCTCCCCCATCTATGTTATTTTGAATAAAATATAACATATAAGTTATATGAACAGAATGTAGGTATTTTGAATAGAATAAAATAGAAAATATTGGTTGAATGGAGGTTTTATGAGTAGAAAAATTTCAATTATAAAAATGTGTTGGAATGCTATATGAGTAAATTTTAGGTATCAATTTTAGTAAGAAAGTTTAGGTATAGAGGTTTTTTATACTTTTGTTTTTCAATATAGAAATGTATTGGAAATTTTAATTATTTTTATGTCATTATCATTTTGTCATCAAAGAATGCTATATGAGATTTGATGATCTAAAATTTTCACTCGGTGGAATATGCAGGCTTTGTAGAGTCGTGTCTCCTTAGATCAGTCACCGTTGAGAATTTTACCCGTGCTGAGCGACAAGGCTTCCACCAAGCATATGCTGCCCTTCACCTGACCAAGTGGATCAGTCACCATGCAACTTATCTTCTCAAACAAACAATTTTCCATAGCAAAAGTAAAAACTGATGTTATTATAGGTTCTGAATTCATAACACCTGCAGGTATCACCGCATCGGAGCCGGAAGAGCCGACACGGGATTTCTCCCGCACTCCAAACCCCACCGGCCAACCGGACCGGAGCCAACCAGCCACCTCGCCGCCCACCAGCATGCACCACCGCGATCTTGACGCCACCCACGCCACCTCACTGAGATCACCAGCACAAGACCAAGAGGATGGAGAGAGACACACCAGGCGACGGGAGCCGCAGCACCGGAGCCGCGCGGGAGGGAACTACCTCCACCGCCATCGTGGGGGAGGCCCGTGCCTCCGGCACCATCGCGGGTGCGTCCAAACGCAGCAACAGGGCATACCAAGCCACTCCTGGCCCAGCCAGGCCCAAATTGGGCCCGCAAAGCCCCGTTGGCCACGCTGCAGCAGGGCGGCACCAGCACCACTAGCCCACCGCCGCTCCCCCGCTTCCCGGAAGCCACGCCGACGACCCTCCCCGCCGCCGGCCCGCCAAGACCCAGATGGGACCCGAAGGGCCCAGATCTAGGCCGAGCGGGCGCCGCCAACGGCAGCGCCGCCACCTAGTAGATCACACGCCACCATGCCGGAAAGCACTGCCGCCGCCTAGGAGCACCCCGCGGCACCGCACCGCCCCGCGTCAGCGCGGCCAGAGGGGAATGGCCAGCGGCAGCCGCCACCCGTGCTAGGCCCGACACCGGACGGCGGCAAGGAGGGAGGGTTCAGGGAGGAGGCGCCGGGGGCGGGGGCGACGCGGTCACGAGGAAGGGGGGAAAGGATCCCTTTTCAAAGTTTTTCCGTAGACATACCGAATACCGAAAATGTCTATGTTGACCCGTTCCATTGGCATAGTCGTATGCATGACTAGGTCAAACTTTCTGGCCCATGTTTCCTTTTGACTTGCGTTCAACTTCAACAGGCAACCAGACTGCCAGATGCAGATACGAAGTTCATACTAGTACTAGTACTAACTATATTTCACCGTCTGCATGCCCTTCACTTAGGGCCATTCAACATACATACAAATATACTCCTTGAGATCACCTTGGTTCAGAGTAGAGGGACTAGATATACTGATCTCTGCTTAATTAGTGATCTTGTAACAAGAAATATCAGTGTCTGCTTGCTTAAACACAACACTTTATATTTTACAAGCACCACGCCCACGCTTAGCTAGCTAGCAAGATAGATAGAATTAACCAGGACTAGTGCTCACCCATACACACATGCTCATTACTCCATTGCCTAGCTACTAATTAAGTACTACCACTCCACTCACATGGATCAGAGTAAGTAGAAAGAAGATTCACCACACCCTTTTCGTCATCATCATCGATCCAAGTCATCATCAAATTCTTACTACTTAGCTACCATACTAGTATATTTTTCGCCATCATCATCATCATCATCAGCAGCAGCAGCAGCATGCAATGAAGCTTGTGTAGTTAGTTAATTTACCCCTGCTGAGCAACAGGGCCTCCTCCACCAAGCATGCTGACCTTGGCCTGATCAAGCGGCTCAGTCACCGTGCAGCTTATCTTCTGAAACAAACAATTTTCCGCAGCAAAAGAAGGAAAAAAAAACTGATGTTACCATAGGTTCTGAATTCATATATAACAGGTGCACGGCATTTGCAAATTGCAACAAGCAAAGGTTTAGTACATCAGAACCAACATACTACTCCCTCCGTTCACTTTTATAAGTCATTTCAGACAACTGAAAATAGGCTGCTTTGCATGTTGTCTGAAATGTCTTCAAGGACTTATAAAAGTGAACAGAGGGAGTATGTTTCTCATGATCTATCTACCTACACAATGGTGCTACCTAGTACTCCCTCTGTAAATTAATATAAGAGCGTTTAGATCACTACTTTAGTATTCTAAACGCTCTTATATTAGTTTACGGAGTGAGTACTTATTACGGTCTACTCTATTTGGCTAGCAAGTACGCACAGATGAGATGTCGGCCTCACTTGCAGAAAACTGGAATGGAATACAGTTGCAGAAAGCAGAGTAGGTCTAAGAAAAACAGAGGGGAGTTGAGTTGGTACCTGGGTTTGGCCGAATTCAGGGACAGGGCTGACGCTGAGGTGGTCCTCTTCCTGAAGCTGCAGTTTGCCGGCGACGAAGACGAAGCGGAAGGCGAGGGGCTGTGTGCCATTCCCACTCCCATCTTGACGCGGGAAGGAGAAGGTCTTCTCCCACCACGCCTGAGCCTGAGCAGCATTGCAATTGCAAGCGCCCACTCCGCCGGAAGGAGCAGCCACCGTCACCGTGGCGGCAGGAGCAGGAGCAGGAGCAGGCAGGGTAGCAGAACCGACAGCAGTGGCATCCGTGGCATCAGCAGCAGCATCTGCACCTGCAGTAGCGTCTTTAGGAAGAGAGCAGAACATGGTGGTTTGCTGCAGTTCCTCGCCCCCTCCTCCTCCTTCCACCTGCAGGTGCGGGCCATTGCCGGGCACATCGTCCCTCCCACCGTCGCGGTTTTCTGGGCGGGGCGTGTTGAGATGGTCGGCATCATCGCCGTCCGGCACGGCAGCGGCAGGGCCGGATTCTAGGTCTTGGCTTCCATTGTTATTCTCAAGATGGGTAGTAGTAAAAAGTGGGAGATTGAAGTGCTGGGACATGAAGAAATGTGCAGGGGGAGCGGGAGGATTTGGGAGGAGAAGAAGAGGCGACTCTGTTTTGTCAGCGGCGTCGTGGATGGGGGCCGAGATTGGGATTGGCCCTGGTGAGGCTGCGTAGGTGGAGGCCGTGAGCGACACCACCTCCCAGTCGCTGCCGCCGCCGTCCGCCATTTTCTTTCTCCTTCTTCCTTCCTGCAGTCAGATTAGACAGAGGCGCTCGCTGTGAGATACGACTACTCCATCGAATCCATGCGCACAAGAAACCAACCAAGAGCTATGACAAAGAATGGAGGGGAGGTCGCGTACCTGAGCGGGTAGGTAACGGAGAGTCGTCGCCGGCGAGAGGAGATGAGAGGAGAGAAGCGATCCGAGGATGGCTTGGCAGCGAAGCAAAGCAGAGGAGAAGAAGAAGAAGAAGTGGATAGTGGATAGGGACGGACGGTTTGCTTCCTTGCGTGGAGTGGCGTGGGTGGGCAGTTGATTGTGTGAAAGAAATGCCAAACTTATTACACACACCAACCTCTCACGCACATCATGGATGGATGGATGGATGGATATTTTCCCGGTCAAATAAAATAAAATAAATTAGCCCTACTAGGCTACTACTACTCCTGCTGCTACTACCAAGTGGGCCCACCAAGCCAGCCTCTGAGCAGGTGGGCCCACCACTGTCGGGCCCGTGGAACCGGGGATACCCAAACCCGTCTGCCTTCAGATCAGGACGCGTCGCATATCAAGAGCCCAAGGAGTGGCCCACCAGCGATCGCCGCGAGCAGGACCCCTCACGAGGCCCTTACCTTATGAGGCCCCCATCAACAGGCGTCCTGAGCTGACTAGGCGGCTCCACCAAGAGCCTCGCAAGTTCCTCTCGCGAGGCGGCCTCCCGGGGCAGCAGGTCAAGGGTTGTTCAGCCCAGTCACGCGGCCCCGCGCCTCCACGTGGGTGACGCGTGCGGTGACGAACGGCGCCAGAGGTCGTGCCAGCAGGCGCGGATGAGGAGGATTTCCTCTTTTGTGCTAAGGGAGAAAGGATCGATATAGTTGACTAGAGGGGGGTGAATAGGCAACTAACACTTTTTATACTTTTCTTTACCAAATTAAACTTTGCATCAAAGTAGGTTGTCTAGATATGCAACTAGGTGAGCAACCTATATGATGCAACAATAGCTAGCACACAAGCAAGCAAGGGATACAACACAAATAAGCTTGCACAAGTAAACGCACGAGGTAATCAAGAGTGGAGCCGGTGAAGACGAGGATGTGTTACCGAAGTTCCTTCCTTTTGAGGGGAAGTACGTCTCTGTGAGAGCGGTGTGGAGGCACAATGCTCCCCAAGAAGCCACTACGGACACCGTAATCTCCTCACGCCCTCACACAATGCGAGATGCCGTGATTCCACTATTGGTGCCCTTGAAGGCGGCGACCGAACCTTTACAAACAAGGTTGGGGCAATCTCCACAACTTAATTGGAGGCTCCCAACGACACCACGAAGCTTCACCAGAATGGACTATGGCTCCACGGTGACCTCAACCGTCTAGGGTGCTCAAACACCCAAGAGTAACAAGATCCTCTAGGGATTAGTGGGGGGAATCAAATTTCTCTTGGTGCAAGTGTAGATCCGGGCCTTCTCAACCACTCCCGAGCAAATCAACAAGTTTGATTGGCTAAGGAGAGAGATCGGGCAAAAATGAAGCTTGGAGCAACAATGGAGCTTTTGAGGGAAGATGTAGGTCAACTTTGGGGAAGAAGACCCCTTTATATAGTGGAGGGAACAATCCAACCGTTACCCCCCCCCCCCAAGCAGCCCCGCAGAGAGCGGTACTACCGCTTGGGTGGGCTGTACTACCGCGCCACCTAGCGGTACTGCCGCGCACATGAGGGGAGCAAGGTCCTGGACCCAGAGCGGTACTACCACGGTGGTAAGGGCGGTACTACCGCTCGGGAGCGGTACTACCGCCACTACTGCCGCGACTAGTGCCGTAGAACCCGACACGAGAAAACGAGGGCTCGAGTCGAGGCGGTAGTAGCCCGGAGCCACAGCGGTACTACGGCGGAAGCCAGTAAGCGGTACTACCGCTGAGGAGCGGTACTACCGCTTGTTGTCTTTGGCGGTACTACCATTGTGGCCCGCGGTACTACCGCTGGGGCCAGACAGAGAGAACAAAGAGGGGAAGGAGAGCTCCATTGAAGCAGGAAGGAACAGCGGGTGCAATAAGAATGTGTACGTGTTGATTCCACCCTAGCCTTACCAAAGCGGATCCCCTCTTGATAGTACGATGACTCATACGTAACTAGTCCACCAACAGAGAAACGAAAGAGCTACACCGTTGTGACACCCCTGATTCAATCGTACACTAATCATACACGCAAATGTGTACGATCAAGATCAGGGACTCACGGGAAGATATCACAACACAACTCTAGACACAAATAAAATAATACAAGCTTTATATTACAAGCCAGGGGCCTCGAGGGCTCGAATACATAGCTCGATACAGAAGAAAGTCAGCGGAAGCAACAATATCTGAGTACAGACATAACTTAAACAAGGGTGCCTTAAGAAGGCTAGTACAAAACAACACGATCGAAGAGGAAAGGCCTCCTGCCTGGGACCTCCTAACTACTCCTGATCATCGGCGGGCTTCATGTAGTAGCATCCATCGGCGGTGGCATCTAGCTCCATGGATCCACCATCTGGTTGTTGGAAATATGCCCTAGAGGCAATAATAAATTAGTTATTATTATATTTGCTTATTCATGATAATCGTTTATTATCCATGCTATAATTGTATTGATAGGAAACTCAGATACATGTGTGGATACATAGACAACACCATGTCCCTAGTAAGCCTCTAGTTGACTAGCTCGTTGATCAATAGATGGTTACGGTTTCCTGACCATGGATATTGGATGTCGTTGATAACGGGATCACATCATTAGGAGAATGATGTGATGGACAAGACCCAATCCTAAGCCTAACACAAAGATCCTAGTTCGTATGCTAAAGCTTTTCTAATGTCAAGTATCATTTCCTTAGACCATGAGATTGTGCAACTCCCGGATACCGTAGGAATGCTTTGGGTGTACCAAAAGTCACAACGTAACTGGGTGGCTATAAAGGTGCACTACATGTATCTCCGAAAGTGTCTGTTGGGTTGGCACGAATCGAGACTCGGATTTGTCACTCCGGTTGATGGAGAGGTATCTCTGGGCCCACTCGGTAGGACATCATCATAATGTGCACAATGTGACCAAGGGGTTGATCACGGGATGATGTGTTACGGAACGAGTAAAGAGACTTGCCGGTAACGAGATTGAACAAGGTATCGGCATACCGACGATCGAATCTCGGGCAAGTACAATACCGTTAGACAAAGGGAATTGTATACGGGATCGATTGACTCCTTGACATCGTGGTTCATCCGATGAGATCATCGTGGAACATGTGGGAGCCAACATGGGTATCCAGATCCCGCCGTTGGTTATTGACCGGAGAACGACTTGGTCATGTCTGCATGATTCCCGAACCCGCAGGGTCTACACACTTAAGGTTCGATGATGCTAGGGTTATAAAGGAAGTTTGTATGTGGTTACCGAATGTTGTTCGGAGTCCCGGATGAGATCCTGGACGTCACGAGGAGTTCCGGAATGGTCCGAAGGTAAAGATTTATATATGGGAAGTCCTGTTTTGGTCACCGGAAAAGTTCCGGGTGCTATCGATAATGTACCGGGACCACCGGGAGGGTCCCGGGGGTCCACCAAGTGGGGCCACCGGCCCCAGAGGGCTGCATGGGCCAAGTGTGGGAGGGGACCAGCCCCAGGTGGGCTGGTGCGCCCCCCACCAAGGCCCAAAGCGCCTAGGGCTTGGGGGAAACCCTAAAGGGGGCGCCCCCCTCGCCTTGGGGGGCAAGGCAACCCCCCTGGCCGCCGCCCCCTCCTCAGATTGGATCTGAGGGGGCCGGCCCCCCAATCCTTTGCCCCTATATATATGTGGGGGGTGGGAGGGAAGCCGCACCCAAGTTCTGGCGCAGCCCTCCCCCTCTCCCAAGTCCTCCTCCTCTCCTGCGGTGCTTGGCAAAGCCCTGCAGGATTGCCACGCTCCTCCACCACCACCACATCGTCGTGCTGCTGCTGGATGGAGTCTTCCTCAACCTCTCCCTCTCTCCTTGCTGGATCAAGGCATGGGAGACGTCACCGGGCTGTACGTGTGTTGAACGCGGAGGTGTCGTCCGTTCGGCACTAGGATCTCCGGTGATTTGGATCACGACGAGTACGACTCCTTCAACCCCGTTCTCTTGAACGCTTCCGCTTAGCGATCTACAAGGGTATGTAGATGCACTCTCCTCTCTCTCTCGTTGCTAGTCTCTCCATAGATTGATCTTGGTGATGCGTAGAAAATTTTGAATTTCTGCTACGTTCCCCTACACTGGTTGCATCAACCGGAAAGAAGAGAGAAGGGGGAAAAGGGGTAGCAAAGCAACCGTGAGTACTCATCCAAAGTACTCGCAAGCATCAGATCTATACTAAGTATGCACTGGTATCAAATGGAAGGTTTGTATCTGTGGACTGAACTGCAGAATGCCAGAATAGAGGGGGAAGGCCTAGCCTATCAAAGACTAGCATCTTCACGCAGCTCCTCGCATCTTGCAGCATGTAGAAGAGTAAAGAATAGCAGTTTAATATTTAACAAGCATGTTGTAACATTAATGCCCAGAGATCCTTCCTCGACTCCCTGCGAGAAAGCAATCCCGGAGCCACATATTCAAGTATCCATTCGTAGATGTAAAAGATCAGGATATAAGTCTGAACGTCCGTTACCGTGGACACGACTATTAATAGATAATCTTCCCTGCATGGGTGCACCACGTTTTCCAACACGCTCGGTCACGTTGGCCGGACACACCTTTCTGGGGTCAATGCTCGGCCGCGGAAGATCAACACGTCGCAGCCCTACCTAGGCTCAGCAGAGAGGTCCCCGCCGGTCTACCTCCTAAGCACTCTCGGGTCTGGGCCCATCGTTCGTTGCACTCCGGGTCATTGCGTACAGGGCGGGTCCAGGATCCACCTCTACATGGATGGTGTCGGCCCAGCCGTGCCGCACTGCTGAACTGGACGTCTGACAAAGTTTCGGCTGATACCACGACGTCGAGGCCCATAACTATTCTCATGTG